GGGGGCTGTGGGTGTATGGGGGTCGGGCCTGGGGTTTGGGGTGCGGGGAGGAGTGGGGTGCAGGCCTGGGACTCGGGGTGCAGGGGAGGCGTGAGGGTCAGGCCTGGGATGTGGGGTGCAGGGAGAGGTGTGGGGTGCAGACCTCAGACTCGGGGTATAGGGGGAGGTGTGGGGTGCAGACCTGGGATTTGGAGTGAAGGGGAGGCATGGGGTGCAGACCTGGCATTTGGGGTGCAGGGAGAGGTGTGGGGTGCAGACCTCAGACTCGGGGTGTAGGGGGAGGCATGGGGTGCAGACCTGGGGGCAAACTTGGGATTTGGAGTGAAGGGGAGGCATGGGGTGCAGACCTGGCATTTGGGGTGCAGGGGGAGGTGTGGGGTACAGATCTGGGGTGCAGATCCAGGAGTCGAGGGAGGCATGGGGTGCAGGGTGAACCTCCATTTCCGGAGGCCGGGCAGTGCCACGTGGCAGGGTCTGGCCTCAGCCCAGGTGCCACCTGTGCACGGGGAGCCTGTGGGCCACCAGCCAGTTGCATTAATTAGCAACTACAGCTGACGAGTTTCTGCTGCCCCGGCCAGGCCACGTCACCGCCAAACACACTGCTTCCGCTTTCCTTTTAGCTTTTGCTGGCAGAAGCAGGTAAAAGCCCCCCCCAAAATAATCCTACCGGCCTGGCGTGTGGCTGATGCTTGTGGGTGCCCATGCCAGAGTGGGCGTGAGCTTGGTGGTCCGTAGTGGGGTGCACCCTGAGGTGACCCCAGCTTAGCCCCCCACTCCTCGCAGGGTTTTGGCCATGACGGAGGCAGCGGGGCTGGTGCCCAAGCGCATCCTGGTGACGGGTGGCACCGGCTTGGTGGGGAGAGCCATCGAGAAGGTGGTGGCTGATGGAGAGGGACGGCCGGATGAGGAGTGGATCTTCGTGTCCTCCAGAGACGCCGACTTGACGTGCGTTGACTGCGTGGGTTTTCGCTTGGAAACCCCCCTGGTCTGCTGCCTCGGCACCGCTGAACCCCAAAATTTCCCATCCCAGGAATGCCGCGGAGACCAAAGCCCTGTTCGAGCAGCACAAGCCCACCCATGTCATCCACCTGGCCGCCATGGTCGGGGGCCTCTTCAAAAACATCCGCTACAACCTGGATTTTTGGGTGAGCACATGGCAAACAGACAGTATTGGGGTCCCTGAGGATGCTGCAACCCCCTGCCCTCCCTGAGCTGGGACATGGGGACACGGGGACATGGCTTGCCCTGCTCCCGGGGCCAAACCAGAGCTCCTCTGGTTCCTGGAATTATTAATGAGTTATTACCCATAGGGTGCAGGGTTTTGGGGGTTCCCACCCCACAGATCTGACAAACTTCTCCATCCCCAGAGGAGAAACATCCATATCAACGACAACGTCCTGCACTCGGCATACGAGACGGGGGTGCGGAAGGTGGTCTCCTGCCTCTCCACCTGCATATTCCCAGACAAGACGACGTACCCCATCGATGAGAGCATGGTGAGTATCTCCGTGGCCGTGCACAGCCCTGGGGGTCCCTGCCCTGCTTAACTCTCTGCTCTCATCCCCAGATTCACAACGGGCCACCTCACAGCTCCAACTTCGGCTACTCCTACGCCAAGAGGATGATCGACATCCAGAATAGGTGCGGGGTGGGACACGGGAGAGCCCTTGCAGGCTGCGAGCACCCTCCGGTTATCAGGGCAAGGGGAATCCCCCGGGGCTCCCAGGAATTAAATGGAGCTGGGGAAGATACCTGGGCTCAGCAGATGGAGATGCTGCTGGCTGGGGTCTTCTGGAGACAGCTCTGTGCCGGAGGGGGGGGGGTGACTGCAGCTGGTGGACAATCCACCTGCACCCCCCCTACTCTCACCCAGGGCCTACTTTGAGCAGCACGGCTGCCGCTTCACCGCCGTCATTCCCACCAACGTCTTCGGACCACATGACAACTTCAACATCGAGGACGGCCACGTCTTGCCGGGGCTTATCCATAAGGCCTACCTCGCCAAACGTGAGTGCGGCAGGACTTCTTATGGCTTTTTTTGGGAAGGTTGGGTGGTTTGGTTTTTTTTTCCCCTGCCTGCTCCATAAGCTCTGCAGGGTAGCCAGGGACAGTGGAGGTGGCTCTGATGCTGATGGACATGCTCTCCTTCTTCCCACAGAGACTGGCTCAGCTCTGACCATCTGGGGCACTGGCAAGCCTAGGAGACAGTTCATCTACTCCCTGGTATGCATGGCCTTGGGGAGCACTTGCCTCCTGCAGCTTGGGGAGGGCAGCATACGGGGCTGGGGGGGCCAGCACCTGGACCCCAGCAGGTCCTGGGCAGCATTGGCCATCCTCAGGGTTGGGTCCCCTTGCAATGAGAGGGCTGGGGGACAGCAGCCACTCCCTAAGAGCCATCTGCCCCTCCGCAGGACCTGGCCCGGCTTTTCCTTTGGGTCCTGCGGGAATACGATGAGATACAGCCCATCATCTTGTCAGGTAAGCCCTGTCTGCCCCCCTACAACGAGTGGCTCCAGCCCCTTCCCAGGAAGATGGAGGAATGGCCACGATCATGCCCTTCTCCACAGTGGGAGAAGAAGATGAAGTCTCCATCAGGGAGGCAGCAGAGGCGATCGTGGAGGCCATGGACTTCAGGGGAGAGCTTGTTGTATCCTTCACTGCAGGCTGGCCCCCCTCGCTCGCAGGGCTGCTGTGGCATGGGGGGCACCCCACTTTCCACCAGCAGCTGTAGGGTTCCAGGGGGGATGCCGTGGTCCAGAGCAGCACCCCAAGCAACCCTCCTGCCCCAGCACCTCAAACATCCCTCCCGCTGCCCCAGCCAGGACACGGTGGGGCAGAGCGAGACCTGGTTTTCCCCATTTGGTTTCCCTTAATCCCTCCTGTGCCAGTTCGACACCACCAAAGCAGACGGGCAGTTCAAGAAGACGGCCAGCAATGCCAAGCTACGGCACTACCTGCCCAGCTTCCAGTTCACACCCTTCAGGCAAGGTGAGATGAGGGGCTCCAGGAAAAAGGGGGGTCCCCCACCCACTGCAATTAGCCTTGGTGGCATCAGGGTGGTCCATCCTTTCAATACCTAAAGGGGGCTTATAAGAAAGATGGGGACGGATTTTTTAGTAGGGCCTGTAGCGATAGGACAAGGGATAACGGTTTTAAACTAAAAGAGGGGAGATTCAAACTAGATATAAGGAAGAAATTTTTTTACGCTGAGGGTGGTGAAACACTGGACCAGGTCGCCCAAAGAGGTGGTGGATGCCCCATCCCTGGAAACATTCCAGGTCAGGTTGGACGGGGCTCTGAGCAACCTGATCTATTGGGAGATGTCCCTGGTCATGGCAGTGGGGGTTGGACTAGATGGCCTTTAAAGGTTCCTTTCAACCCAAACCATTCTGTGGTTCTATGAACAAACTGCATTCCCGATCCCAAAACCTATCCCATCTTCTCCCTCCCCAGCTGTGAAGGAGACCTGCGCCTGGTTCAGCGCCAACTATGCCAACGCCAGGAAGTGACGGGCCAACGCGGCACCAGGACCAGCATCACCCGGCACCGGCATCATGCTCTTCAACTCAGGGTTGTCCTTTGCTGGGGCAGAGGACGGGGCTGGAGGGGGGAGGGGGGGTGACAGTGACATTTCCAAAGTCAAAGGGGGCCAGAGCCCAGTGAGCAGCCATCACATTCCTGCCCGCTGCTGGGAGCAGCGCGGGACGCCCAGGGCAGGGGAGGGAGGAAGGTTGGGGCACCCCGAAGGCGCTGGGACCCCAGATAGGGTGGTAGCCACCAACTGGAGCCACCACTGCTGCCTTGGCCATATGCAGGAGGCTGGCAGCTCCTGCTGAGCTGTGATGGGCTACAGTGCCTATTACCTGTAATTAGGCTGTAATAAAGGGAAGATGATCAGGGTTGTTTCTCCAGCCCAGGAATGGCAGCTTGGCATTTGCTTTTGCTTTTGGCACATGGGGATGGTCCCGAAGCTCCCAGCAAAGCCGCCACTGCCCCAGCATCAGGACTGGGGGGGGGGGAACGGGACTAGAACGGGGAAGGCTCCAGCTGTAAATATGGCATTTATTAAAATATATGCAAAATAGTGTAAAACTGGTGGATGAGGAGCATCTGCCCCGCAGTATGGTACCGTACCCACATTGAATGGCACCCATAGGGTCCTGAGCACCACCATGTGTTCTCCACCAGGATCTGGAAGAGCCAAAAAAGGGTTTAAAACCCCTCTGGGAGGGGGTAGAGGGTCAAACATGGGGGAGACGAGTCCACGGCCAAGCTGCCACACAAGGCTCAACCGGTGGTGTGGACGTGGCAGAAGTCCTGCCCAGGGATGGCTTTCTTCCGGCATCGCTGCCCGGCCCTGGTGAGCCCCTGGCATGGGGACCGTGGGGACAGCAAGGGCCTACAGAGGAGAGACCCATCAGCACCCCAGAAAGCCCCCAGCAGGGCTGTCCCTGGCCCACTGTCAGGTCACCGGCTGCACCCCGAGGTGACACCAGCCCCAATGTGTCCCTGGAGAAGGGATGTCCCCTATGGTTGGCACTCACACATCGCTGGCCAGAGACTGGCTCAGGCTGTAGGATTTGGGCTCCCAACGCTTCCTGGTGCCCAGGGCCAGCTCCGGCATCACCTGGTCGGGGAAGAAGGGGTTTAGACAGGGCATTCTCCGTCCCTGGTGACCCTCCCGTCCTGCAGGAGATGTCCCCAGGGGACAAGGGACATGTGGGTCATACACGATGGGTGCCTTGGCCATCTATCCTTGGAGGACACCCCCCTCCACCCAAAAGTCCTCCCTGGGCATCATGTCCCTGCAAGTGCTGCGGCATCAGCCCTGGCCCCTCTCCCAACGGGATGTCCAGCACCCAGAGGTGCAGTCACAATGAGGACACCCCAGCCCTAGAGGGCCTCACCCTCAAGGGCACCCAGCTGGTCCCCAGGAGCAAGGTCTGGCCCAACCTGGGGACATCCCACCTAGCACCTACCCCCAAGCTCAGGCTTACCCCACACGAGCTCAGCTTTGTCCTCCAGCCACCGGGGATGGGTGACACCTGCCCTGCTAAGCCGGGGAGGTCCCCTGCCATCGCTGGGGGTTGCTCCAGGCACGAGGGCTCTGCAAGAACATGGCACGGGTGGTGACACGCTCCCAGCGCTGCTGTCCCCAGGTGTTGGATGGGGACACCCTGGGGTGGTGCACATGCCCTAGCATAGCCTGGGGACACTCTGGGGTAACACACATGCCCCAGCATAGGATGGGGACATGCTGGGACTTCAGACCCTTGTCCTACAGCCACCACACCTCCCAACTCATGGTCATCTCTCCCACGTCCCCCTGCCTGGCCAGCTCTCACCTTGCAGGCAGCTCATCTCCATCCTGTCCAGCTCCTCCTGCAACAGCTCCATTTCGCACTCCCTACGTGGGAAAAAGGAAAACCAGAGCCCCATCATCTTGGCGGCTTCTGCGTCACCATCATGATGGCAGCCCCCTCTCCAGACTCCCCACACCCTCCTCCGGGCAGAAATAGGGCAGGGAGCTGGGATGAGGTGCCCAAAAGCTGCAGGCAAGCCATCAAGATGTGTCCTGCCCCCTCCTGGGGACCAGCAGCCCACCCTGGGGACCTCTGCCAGATGGCAGCGGGATGGGACATCCAGGATGGGTGCCCAGGCTGGGTCCTAGCAGCTCCCAAGGGTGCCATGCCCACCCCCCCCAACCATCTCCTACCTTTCCGGGGTGGAGGTGAGCCAGTGACGGGGCTCTTCCCGGGGAAGCACCAGCCAGGCTCCCCCAGCACCGCGGCGGGCAGCCGCCACCAGCCACTGCCCTGCGGGGAATCGAGAGGGTGGGAGAGGGCAGAGCACCCCCAGCCCACCCCCATAGCACCCCCAGGGTGGTGTGTCCCCAGCCAGGTGCCCCCACACCCGTCCCCACCTGCCACAGCAAGGGCCAGGAGAATGGAGACTGCTGGGATGCCGAGGAGCTCGCCGAGGGCGCTGGAGGCAAGGAAGAGGAGGAAGAGGATGGCACGGGGCTGCGTGGGCATCAGTAGCATGACCAGCAACACAAAGTATGAGCTGTGTAGGGTGCAGGTGGAGATGGCACTTGGGCTCTGACCTGTGGGACAGGGAGCAAGAACCCGGTGTTACCACCCACCGGCACCCATCCGCCCTCCAGCACCCACCCCCGGCTCACCGGCTGGGTCAAGGACGGTGTGGAGGTGCTGCAGACTGTTCTCCAGCCGGCTCCGTGCACCTTCCACGGCCACCAGCATCAGCCCCAGGCTCCGGTTGACCCGCCGCAGCTTCTCCATCACCTCCTCCATCCGGCGCTGCTGGGCCAGGAGAAGGGCCAGGTCGCTCTCTGCACATGGAAGAGATGGATATGGCATCGGGATGAGCCGGGGAAGCTGCACCCAGGGGTGTCCAGGTGCAAAAAGAATTGGGAATAGGGTTTGCCGCGTTTCCACCTAGTTGGGAATAGACGTCCCGAGCTCTTTCCTGCGCGTGGTGGAGGTTGGACAGGACAACCCGGTGCCCTTCCTGGAGCCCTGCGGCCCCACAGCTGCTCACGTTCCCTGTAGGGAGGCACAAGAGGTTGGGTTGGTCCCCAAGGTGGGACGTGGGGACGTAGCAGCATCCCAGCCGGCGGCTCTCACCCATCCGCTGGGTGATGTCCTCCATGAGCTGGGCCACCCGGTGCTGCCCGCTGGCGATGAGGGTCTCATCCAGTGCCGACCGCTGCAGGCTGTGGTGGACAGGGGTCTCCAGTCTCGGCCGCAGCCACCCGTCCGGCCGCTTCCACAGCTCTTCCTGACCCTCCTGAGGTAAATATTGGGGTGGTGGTGATGGGGGGTGGCCCCACAGCCCCCCACAGCGATGCCCACCACCACCTACCAGGTGGACGCTGGCTCTCCCCATGGGCACCCCCTCAGCATCCTGAAATGAGCCCCCAGTGTTTAATCTCCATCCCACGGTGCTGGAGAAAGAGACTTTGGAAAAGCCTTCGGAAGCGAGCAAGGCTGGGGGCGAGAAGGGGATCAGGAGCGGAAACCCCCATCTGCCATGGGGGAAATGGGCTAAACAGGGTTGGTTTTACCCCCAAATGAGGATGAGAGGCTGAGCAGAGGTGGCTGGGTGCAGCTCGGGCTCTGCAGCTGCAAAGGTTGGGATTTTGGGGGGAAATTGCATTGGATTACTATAGGATTTGGGGTGCCCTGCCTTACCATGTTTGGGGTGCGGGGGTACAGCCGGCGACCCTCGGTGCTGGCCTGGCAGTTGAACACGTCCTCCCCCAGCTCAGCCACCGCCGCCTCCTCCTCCTCGCTCAGGTTGGCGCAGGACGAGTGGAGCCGCACCATGACCTAGAGGCGGCACCGGTGTCAGCAGGGCTCAGCACCCATGGGTGCTCCCAGCACAGCCAGGGTGGGGGTACAGAGGGGTGGTTTTGGGGTGGGAAATTAAGGAGAAAGGTGTGAGCCCACCCCAGCACTTGGCCTTCACCCCCCAAAACCATCCTACTTGGACATGAGGCACCCCGCACCTCACAAAGTGGGTGCCCAGGCTGGGGGCTCCCGGGGGCTCCCCATTCCCAAAAAAAAATGTGTCTGCTCACGTGGCTTCAGCCTGGAATGGAACCCCCCCCCCTGCCACACCTGATGGTGGCAGGAGTCCGGGTGTGTCTGCTCCCAGCACGTGGCTTCAGCCTGGAACAGCTCGTCACCCGTGGTCATCTCAAAGGGGACACGTGGGGGGATCTCCAGCTCCGGGGGCATCCCCAGCTCCTCCAGGGGGGTGCCGAGGCCCAGCCACCCAAAAAAACTGGCAGCGCCGCAGAGGAGCAGCAGAACCCAGCAGCTCAGGGGCAGCATGATGGGGGGAGGTCCTGCGGGGAGAAAAGGGGTGGGGAGCACCCAGAGGCCGGGAGCAGCCCCCCAAGTCCAGGGACAGGTTTGGGCCCCCCCCCCATGGGGGTGCCCCTCCCCCAGTACACCCAGGGGTACCAAGGGCCTCGGCTGCAGCCCAGCCCCAGGACGGTGGGAAGGGCTGGGGACCATGTTCCCCCCCTTTCCCGGGGGCGGGGTGC